TGTCTGTAAAAATATAAGCCAAGAGCAGAAAGAGGAAGGAGGAGATGAGCTAATTATTCCAGCTGAAGCTGTCACTTTGTGAAAACGAAACTGTAGAGTTTTTGAGAAATTTTTTTTTTTTATATTATTCCTGTTGAATAAAGCTGGTATTGAAGTCCCAGGCCTTCTGAAAAAGGACAGTGGCAATTCTTTGGCAAGAAACTTGGTTGTTTAGGGAACTGGGATGCTTCATTCCCTGTCTTGGGATGCTGTGGGATGTGCCTGTTCTCTCCCCTTTCTCGGACTTGCTGCTGCAAAGAGTCAGTATTCTTTTGTTTTCCTTCAGTATAATGATGTTCTTCCTCATTAGTATGGACAATCTGTTGGTTTTAACTTCATAAAGAGTATTAAGATGACATTTAAAAATGCTTTAAAAATATTTTTTTCATTTTTAGCAGTTATGGTAATCTGAATGGTGCTGCTGAAATGGAAGCTTTTAATTTCAAGTTCATAATACTGAGAAAAGCTGCAAACAGAGGCATGACAACTAGAACAATTTATATGTGGAGGAGGGAAAATCACGTATGGTAGGTCATGCTTTACAGGCTACCATTGCAGTTCTTTAAGCAGTTGTTATGATCTAGAAGTTTTGGTTTGGATTAAGTGCTGTGAAAAGAAAAAGGTAATTGCCAGTTTCAAGGAAGCTGTTTTCTGCCTTTTAACTGCTGGCATCCTTGATGCAGTGTGTTCTCATTGCATGAAAATAAACCAAAAGTGAGTTTAGGTGGTGGACAGGGAAGAGATCTATAGTCCTTGTTTCTCCCAGAACTTCAGTCCTATCCTGTTGGAGTGCACTGAACTTTTTTTAAAGTTTGCTTTAATTTTGAACACTTAAATATTGCCATCTGAAAAAAGCCATTTGTATAAGTTAACATTAAAATTTAAGGTATCCTCTGAGAAGCTGATAATGCCTTTTGGTAATGAAAAGTACCTTGTGAAGTATAAGTTTGCTTTTCACTCCACTAGTGGAAGTGTTCAGAGGCCTGATAGTGTATCTGCAGCCTTTGTTGAAAATGTTGACTGTTCATTCATGAATGATTAACAGGTGGTTTTATTTAAAGGTGTGTATCTGCTTCCTACTGTGTCAGTATAAAAACTATCTTCTGAAAAAGTTGTGTGTACAGTTCCTATTTGAAGAATCTTGTGAGTTTGATTCTGGAAACTGTCCAGCCTGCATGAAACTCTCTTCCTTATCAGTTTGCAAGGATTTAGTACAAGCAGACATTTCTGTGAGATTGAACTTAAATACAGCAGACTTCTAAAGTAATAAATACAGAGCATTACTGAGCTAGGGAGAGGTCATTATAATCATAAAGTTGTAATAGTACTTAATGGGTTGTACAATTTTCATTCAAGATGTAGCATCATAGAATTATTTCTGGTTTTTTAATTTTTCTTTATCACTTTTCTCGCAAGAGTCCTTCACTGCTCTTAGTAAGAGAAAGCAACACGAAAGTCTGTAATCTGTAACAAATAGAAAAGGAATGTTGAAATGTTTTGAGTATAAGACATTTTGTGTGTGTGTGCATGGGTGTGTTGAAGGACATGTTCTTGTGATTTTGATAGTGAGAAGACAGTTTCTTTTGGTAGATTAAATTCCATGTTTATGAACGTTCAGAGGTTGTTAGTGCAGAAATAAAGCCTAGGGAGTGAAGTTCTAGCTGGAAGTCCTCATGTATGTACAGAGCTATTTAGTGTTTAGCATATATTTAAGTTTCCCTTAACTCTGCATGCCTGCTTTTGGGAAAACAGCTATGGAAGTGGTCAGAAACTATTTTGTTCTAGGTAGTGCTTTATCTATTCAAATTTGTACACTGGCAATGAGTAATGGGTTTAGTAAATGAAAAGAATACAGTTAAATTAATAAATAAAGGTTTTTGCAGAACGCTGTCTTAAAACAGTTCTGTGAAATGAAACTGCAAGGTGGTACAGGGCCCGGGAGCTCTACAGGGACATCTAGTGGGACTTGACTGTCTCCCAACCGGGGGGAGGGGGAGCAAGGATTGACCTTCCTGCCAACACCGACGCAGAAAGTACACTAAAGTTAATTTCAGGAATTTTTGCGCTTTCTAAAAGCTGCTTTTCTCATCAACAAACGAGAAATTCTTCACAAAATTAGTCTTGATAAGTTTGGGTGCTCTTGAACTGAGCATTATTGTAGACACAACAACATAGGTCACTGCGTGGCGGAAGGTATGAGGAAGTATTACTGTATGCTACGTGGTTATTTAAAATAGTTTCTGATAAGAAAGTTGTATCCCTCAAAGACGTAATTATGAGCTAAACTGTGTGTTGTAGTTACATTGATGGCTTTGCCTTTTTTGTTTGGTTGTTTTTTTTTGTTTTGCCAAAAGCAGTAACTTAAGGGCGCTTTTAAAAAATTTTGCAATACTCCCTGAAAAGTCTGTCAGAAGAGGGAGCAACAAGGAATGAAAGTAGCGGGAAGCTTCATTGGCAGGACAGTCTTGTTTGTTCCAGACAAAAGTTCTGGCTTTCCCTTGAAAACCAGAAATTGGTATATTAAGTTTGGAAGTACTAAGCATTCAGAAGAAAACCACTCATTATGCTTTCATATGCTGTTACTGTTTTAAACTTAACTAGTATGGTGCCTGAGTTATGTTGCAGTAGGCTGTCAGCTTCCAGTATTGGCTTAAGCCATATGTATCCTCCAGTTTCATCTGGAGTTGTTCTGGTTATAATGCTGAACCATTGAAAAACTCACTGTGAAACCTCTGAGCCATATTCCTATGTGTTGCTTGAGAAAATGTTCTAAAAACTGTCAAGGATTCTGTGTCATAGCTTTTTCTATTTGGAAAACACTTTTATTAATACACAGAAGTGTTCTTTTAATAATGGCATTTCACTGTTTTAATTAAAACAAAAAAGCAGCTGGCAAATGGAGGCTAGACAGTAAATCCTTCTTACTGTGTTGTGTGGAAGAGCAATTTTAGGACAGGAGTGTTGTGCAAGCCAGTGGCCTCCTGCTGCAGCAGCCAAGGCACTCGATGGTACCACTTTTGCCACTTCCTTGAAATAGAGGAAGAACCTGAAGGTTTGTGCATTCCCTGGTGCAGGTGTTTGTCGGTGCTTCCAATTACAAGCCTGGTGGTTTAATGGCAGGATGACTTACGTGGAAAATGCAGCTATTCAGCTTGACTGGGAAATGAATGCAGAAACTGCACTTTTCGATGAAGATACCTCAAGGTTACTCTCCCAGCATCCCAGGGAGTTGACGTTCGTCCTTGAAAGCAGTGAGGCAATACTTTTTTCATAGTAGTGTTCTTTATGCTGTTAGTGCTCTCAAGAGCAACTCTACTAAAGGCAGCTGATCTACCCTCCTAACAAAAAAAACCCCACCAACAAAACCCAAAAACGGGTGGGGGGAGGCAAGATGCAGATAGAAAAAGTCTTTTACTGCTCATCAAGTTTTGTAACAGGTTTTCCTTTGAGTTGGTTAGAGGAGGATAATAATTGGTTTTGGCTCTCTGATTTTGCCAGTGCTGCAATATTTTTTTTTCTTCCCCCTTGTGGTTTGCCTTAAACATGCTTGCTAAATCTAGTAAGCTGTGTTTTCTCTTTTAAAAGAGCACAAAACAAGTCCATGCCTGTTTTAATCTCATTAAGTTCCTCTCTAGCTGTTTCCCCTTTTGGTTGTGGATATTGTCCATATTTGGTTCTAGCTATGGTGCAATCAGTTTATATCTGATTGTGTGGTATGATATGCTGTCTTGCCTGAGCAAACCCCAATAATTTATGATTAGATGTGGTCTAGATTAGCAGTTTATTATTTTAATATTTAAAAGTACATTATAAAAGATCTTTTATGTAATGCAGTACGTTATTTTTTCCTGTGAAAGATGCAACAAGAGGCACAAGGACTTGCCTGCAGCAAAACTTCTGAATTAAAACCAAGCAGGGGGAAGGGATAGTATAAATTATATAGTTCTTTTCTTTAGAGTGCTTAAATATAACGTGCCTTAAGATACAGAGATGGCAGTGCATTACCAGAAAAATATTCAATTTGATTTAATAACAAGCTGCTCATAATCACAACTCTCAGAAAACACATGCTCTTATATGCTACATGGTGTGTTTTACATACTTATTATACTTTAAAAATTGAACATCTGAAAGTGTATTTCCCTCCTGAATGCATTAGTGGCTTATTTGAAAGTACTTATGGTTTCCATGAGTGCCGTGGACTTTTAACCATGCTTTCTGCTGGCCTTCACATTAGCAAACTATTTATAAATTAGAAATTGTCACTAGTGCTTTGTTTTCTTGCAGATATTTGTTGTTCTACTTGTGTGCATGTATAGGAATAAAATGTATATCCACTTATTTCTATATGAAGAGAGTGGTAATCAGAACACTCAGTGGTGTTCTTGTAATGTTTTTAAATAAGCATCTGTTTGGAAAGGCATACAGGTAAACTGTCCAGGTGTTTTCCAGAGTTTCTTAGTCACAACATTGTGTTCGTCTTTCTGGCTGAACTGTCTGTTTAGATCTTGCTGAGAAGATAAAAGTAGTACTTTACATTCACCATCATCTGTATTAGCAGTGAAGGGAAAAGGTTAGGCAAAGATGGTTCCCCAGCAAAGCGGCATCTCAGAAATGCTACGTTTTGTCTTGAACAAGATCATATTATTTACAGTTCCTGAGCAATACTTGAACTGTAAAGCTTTTCAAATCCACTGTAAGACATAATTATCAGCTGTCATCTAGAGAAATGCTGAAAAATTGTTTCAGTATTACATAAATATAGCTTGTGATATCTACCTTATAGTTAACCACCTAATGTTTTCACACCCCAGCATCTTGTGGCTGTCCTTTGTGCTTTTGTACTTAACAACTAAAAAGGGAGTTTGTTGGTTTGTTTCACTACTGTAATATGTTCTGATTTATAAGGGAGCATTCTAAAATTCATTTGCTCTTTAACAATGCATTTCTTCTCTCAATAGCCAACTACTCCACCAAGCCAAGGGAGGCCTGATTCACCAGTTTATGCTAATTTACAAGAACTGAAAATATCTCAGTCTGCACTTCCGCCACTACCTACAAGTGCTCCAGTCCAAATAAATGGGGAATGGGAAACCCATAAAGATACAACAGGACGCTGTTATTACTACAACAGAGGATCACAAGAACGGACCTGGAAACCTCCGCGGTGGGCCCGAGATGCAAGCATTAATAAAGGGGATTCCCAGAGCCATGCAGATCATGAGGTAGTTCTGAGATCACAAGCAGTGAGATTGTAATGCATATGAATGCTGTTTTGCTATGGAATTTGGCATCTGAGTTTCAAGGTGTCAAGGAGTTCTTAATTTGGGTTTTTTTGTGTCTTTGTATGAAGTAGGAAACAATTTGGGTCTTCAATCGCTTTTTTGTACATGAACTGTGTACAAGAGTAGTAAGTTGTAAAAATGCCTTACAGTTCCTCAGCAGGTATTGCAGCTTTTCTTTTAAAGATGAAGGAAAACGAAGGTATTTTGAAACTAATAGGACTGTAAATATTAATAGAATAAGACAACCATTGTAACTTCTCTGGCATGGAGTACATTCTTTCCCAGTGTATCTGATGTATTTTTGGTGGAGAAGTGGGGGAAAAGAGGGGGAGTGTGACAGTGCTTCTAGAAGCAGGATTTATAGGGATGTGTTGAAAAAGGCAAGGGGAATTATCTATTTTTATCAATATCAGTTAAATACACAGTAAAACAAAGGCAGGAGATACAAAGGTGTTTACCACTGCTTAGTTAATGCTGTGGCAGTAAATTTAAATATGAAATATTTTTCTGATAGAGGAAAATATTTTTGTAGAGAGAAATTAAGATGGATTTACAGATGAATGTAGAGAACTCCAGAGCTCTGGAGTCAAAAGCAGTCTTAGTGGAGTTCCACAGCACTTTCCACCCACATCAAAACCACTGGCATAACTGAAGCTTCTATCAAATTAAAATATATTGATTTTTATTTTAGTAGTTACATTTACACATACTATTTATAGCTCTATATTCTGTGATGCTTTAAAAAGTGTTTATTTTTTAAAAAGGGACAAATGTGACTTCAGACTCAAATTCATTAATTCTTAGAGGTGGAATAATCATAGTGAATATAAAACCAAGTTTAGATGGCTAACTTGTTGCAGCATTTTATTTAACCATTTGCTTAGGAGATTTGAATTTACATATTTTTGATTTCTGCCTTGGATAGCTGTAGAAGAAACTAGGAGAAAGGGCAGCTGAAGGAGCAATATTTTGTTATCAAATTGTATTAACTTTGAGAAAATGCTTTTCTTCATTCTGTGAAAAATATCTTAAAGAACAGAAGATGAGAACATTAAAGGTACCATGTAGAAGCTCTGCCTAGCTAAGTGTCTAGGTTCAAGGGTAGCAAATGCTGATGGGGGAGGAATTCCATCTGTGCTTTTGTCAAATAGCCACAGGAGCTTTCGGCTAGATTACATTCAGGCCATGAACATATCCTTTAGATGTATAAATGGATTTTTTTCATTAGGTAGACCTTTTGCTTTTGCAAAACCTCTTGTCAGAGCTTTGCTGCAGACCTTGCTCAAGAGAGTTGAAGCTTACCATGAAGTTATTTATGTTAAAAGATGATTTGGGCTAATACCTGAGGTGCAGATATATTCTGTGCAGCCAGTTGCTAGGGAGAGCCAGACAGTGGTATTGTGTTTATTTGAACTACAGTGGTTCAGATAAAGCAAAGGAATAATTGGGAGATGGATATTACTATTTAAATATGCTCTTGTGTTCAAACAGTACTTAGGTTAATCAGTTTCCTGACTTAAAGAAAGCAAACATTTATCAAGAAATCTGCATATTTCACTTCTATATACCCTTTTCAAATATGTATAGTTTAGATGGATTTCTTCCAAAGCCTATTACAATGTTTAGTTTTAAAATGTAATTGTGGGCTGCTCAAAAACTTAGATTGCTGGAAGCCCTGTTGTAGAAGTGTACCTCTGTGATGGTAGTGCAAGAAACAGGAGAGAAAGGAAAAAGGGACTCTTTCAGTGCTTTTGGAGATGATCTTCATAGCAGCAGCAACATCAGCAAGCATTTAAACAGCCAAAAAGGCTGTGAATGTTTTCTACCTAGGTTTTAGTAAAGCCTTTGACAGTTTCCCCCAGCATTCTCCTGGAGAAACTGGCTACTCATGGCTTGGATGGGTGTACGCTTTGCTGGGTAAAATCTGGCTGGGTGGCTGAGCCCAAAGAACTGTGGTGAATGGAGTTAAATCCAGTTGGCAGCTGGTCACAAGTGGTGCTCCCCAGGGCTCAGCACTGGGGTCAGTTCTATTTAATGTCAATGTCAATATCAATGATCTGGACAAGGGGATCGAGTGCACTCTCAGTAAGTTTGCAGATGATGCCAATTTGGGTGGGAGTGTTGATCTGCTTGAGGGTGGGAAGTCTCTACAGAGGGATCCGGACAGGCTGGATCGATGAGCTGAGGCCAATTGTATGAGGTTCATCAAGGTCGAGTGCCAGGTCCTGCGCTTGGTTCACAACAACCCCATGCAACACCACAGGCTGGGGAAGAGTGGCTGGAAAACTGCCTGGCAGCAAAGGACCTGGGGGTGTTGGTCGACAGCCAGCTGAATATGAGCCAGCAGTGTGCCCAGGTGACCAGAAAGGCTAATAGCATCCTGGCTTGTATCAGAAATAGTGTGGCTGGCAGTACTAGGGAAGTGATTGCCCCCCCTGTACTTGGCACTGATGAGGCTGCACCTCAATTACTGTGTTCAGTTTTGGGCCCCTCACTAGGAGAAAGACATTGAGGTGCTGAAGTGTGTCCAAACAAGGGCAACGAAGCTGGTGAAAGGTCTAGAGAATAAATCCTGTGAGAAGCAGCTGAGAGAGCTGGGGTGGTTTAGTCTGGAGAAAAGAAGTCTTGTGGGAGACCTTATTGTTTTACAACTACCCAAAAGGAGGCTCTAGCGAGGTGGGTGTCAGCTGCTTCTCCCAAGTAACAAGTGATAGGATAAGAGTAAATGGCCTCAAGTTGTGCCAGGGGAGGTTCAGATTGGGTATTAGGAAAAACTTCTTCACCAGAAGGGTTGTCAAGCATTGGAACAGGCTGCTCAGGGGAGTGGTGGAGTCACCATCCCTGGAGGTATTTAGATGTGTAGATGTGGTGCTTAGGGAAACTGTTTAGTGGTGAACTTGGCAGTGCTAGCTTAATGGATGGACTCAGTCTTAAAGGTTTTTTCCAACCTAAATGATTCTGTGATTCTATGAAACTTTCTTGACACAGGCTAGTGGCAGCAACAGGTAAACTAGAGAAGTGTTTGTGGCTGTCACTTTGGTATCTCTGATGGTCTATTAATTTCTCTCTGGCTGTCCTTTTGCTGGATAAGACTCTTTAGTCTGCGTAAGGTGATTTTTTTTTTTTTGAGTAGTGCTCTTGTAGTAAGTGTAACTGGTTTTCTGTTGTTATCTTTTCTTTTGTTCTTTATGTTTCTTTTCATGGAAGAACAATAATTCATTCTCCCCCATCTGCAAATGATCTGACTTACTCATACTTCTGTACCATGACTTCACCACATGATAGCACATTCAGAAAATTTGATGTTTTAATTTTTTTTATTACCCATAACTTAGCTCAGTTCTGTTTATTTTTGATGCTTGGGTTATCACAGATTGGCCTTCAGATAGTTCTATGTATCATGTTTTCAGTCATGGTAAGACCAATGGATGATGCATGTTTTGATTAATTTTTAACTAGACACAAGTTTATATTTCCAGTAGCTCAAGTTCCTTAAGTAAATTTGTCCTCTAACTTGGTTATCAAAGTTTGAGTCTTGGGAGATACTCATTGCAAAGTCATATCAATCCACTTTCCAGAAGTCATGTGTTGATTTTGAAGCTGCCTTTTTTCCCTTCTTTTTGTTTTGTTTTGTTCTGCATTTGGGAACATACTTCACGCTCCGCTGTTCATGTTCACCTTTTCGTTTATGACCTCTGAATGTTTAAACAAAAATACTTGAAGGTTGAGATCTGAGCCTAGACTACAGCAAAATCCCAAATTTTGTCTGATTATGAAGAGTTAGAGCAAATATGTCTTAATAATTAGTAAAAAAATAGATTTAATTTATTAAGTTGTTGGCTTTTACACACTAGTCTGAGTTATGCTCATTCCCTTTAGATTCAGTAATAAGGGAGCATATGGAGGAAGGTTAAATGCTGGTTGTATCTCTACTGATTTGTCCTCAGAGGAGCTTGTATCATATTGGGTAGCAAAATGGCAAGGTGGCCTAAAAACTCTGAATATTCATATATTCTAATATAGATGTAATATATTAGAACATGAAGTAGCTTATAGTTGGCCTTAGAAATTTGAGATTAGCAAATTGAATTTTATTTGATAATTAAGAAGGGGCAAGACTATAAGAAAGTGTATAAGACTTTGGAATTATAGATAAAATTTATTGGAAGTAGTGACTTGTTAATGTATTTGAGGAAGGAGTGCTTAAGCGTAATTGGAAGAAATTTGTTAGATAGTAAAGGGATTTAATTAAGGTGGACTGTAGAAGGAATGAGAGTCATATCAGAAAGACAAACCTCTAATACCTAGCTAGAAGATCATAATGTGAAGTAGAGACCAACAAATTAAACCATCAAGCTGCAGAAGAGCAACACCATTTCATTGAAATGAAAAACTACATTTAAGACATGTGGCAAGATGCAATTTAATTCTCTGGGTTTTGATTCAAAATAAAGGGCTGCTAGCTTCTTTAATCAATATGCTTTCTTATTATTTTGACTTTTAGAAGTAGAAGTAACTTTCAAGACTGGTTAAGTGATAGAAGAGAGACCGTAACTGTTCGTGTTGTGTTTTTTTTTTTTTTTTTTTTTTTTTTTTTTTTTTTTTAATTAAATGCATGATGATGAACTGGTCTCATGGTGATGAACATGTAAATGAAAAAAAGACAAGAAAGACAGTAGAAGCTATGATGTGGGGGTCCTTTTCTGTAATTCCATTTAGTGTCATAGCAGAGTTCTTACAAGGTGTAAGGTTGGACGGCTGTCTTCTTAAGATGGCTTTATTTGAGTGTGATAGAGTGTAATTGGGGGTGGGACTTAGAAAAAGCATGGATGATGCGTAAAAAAACATACGGGCAGTTAATACTGAAAAAATGTTGAAAGTTAAACTGAAAGTTACTGAATGTGATTTGACCAGTGTTCTCTGACCCCCGTTGATGCACCTTTAGCAGTTGTTCCTACTAGCTGAGGGACAAGTGAATGCTTTGGCTTGGTAAACTTTGTAACAAAGTCAGGAATGGTGTTTAAGTTTAGGCCTGCAAAGGTATGTGAGACTAGTTAAGCCCTGAAGCATCAAGACTGTTACTATGGGCATCTTCCAGATACACATTAACAGACATTTTTACTGAACAACAGTGTTTTTTCTAGAAGGATTTTCATTTTTTAAGTCTTCTGTTTACAGGTTTTATGTGTGTACAGTGTTTCCTTAGTATCAGAAGCTGCTTGGAAGAGGCAAATACAAATGTTACTAGGTCATAATTGCTGTTAACAGTAATAATAGAAATGTCCAAAATCTACCGCTTTGAATGTATGCCAATGCACTTAATATTTAACCATTAAAATATAATGTAAAATTAAATATGTGATACAATATAGATATCTTCTAAAACAGCAGTTCAGATGGGGCCAATAGCACTCTCATCAATTCCTGAGTCTTAATTCTTCAAGTGTAAAAATGGGACTAAAGACTTTTTATTCCACCACTGGTTAGAAATTGGCTTTTCAAAATTTCATATTACCCCACATGCAAGCGAGGTGGCATTGTTTAATCCATAGTTTACCTGCTTTCATTCTGTAGGCTGTAGAGGATGCTTACATTTTTTTTCATGTTACTTTATTAACGACCTGAAAAATTCCCATGGGTTTTGCTATGCTTGGTAAACTGGCTCATGTCAGTGCAGGGATTTTGTCACAAAAGTGGCAAGGTACTCAGAAGGTAACACCAAAAACCTATGTAATAATAATTTGGAAATGTCACTAAACATATAGTGGCTGTCTAAAAACCACTGGCTTTTAAAAACTGATGAGTTTCTGATACCTGGATTTTTTTAAGATTAAAGTTTTTCAGGAGACGGGGTTTTTTTTTTTTTTAGTTTAAAATTGAAATTCTGCCTTTCTCCTGCTTTTTAGTTTTCCTCAAAACCCTTATACTTTTGTTATTGAACCTTAGTCTATATTTAACTATTGTAATTTCTGAACAGCAGGATGTATTTCCTCTTAAGTGTTATGCCTCCAAACAGCTGAGGATCCAAGATAGTGTGAAAGGGAATCTTCACTGAATTCCTTAGGAGTCTGTGGCATAGAGATATTGTTATGGGAGGTGAATGCAGGGAGATCTTTTTTTTATGCACAGAATGGGTGCTTTGAATAATACTACAGTATGTTAGCAAGGAGACGAACAAGGTGTATGGGGGAATAGAGATTGTTTGTGTATGTGCAAAAATCTTTCTTCTGCTTTACCTGTCAAACTTGTTCCTTACATTATAATTCACTTATCCCTTCAGAAAATAATCTTACACCTCGGCTAGCTGTGCAAGGTAGAAAGCCTTGCTTTTGAGTTGTCCATTGTCACACTCAGAGTTGGAAAGAGGAGAGTGGAAATCCCTAATATTTCAGAATGCATTGCACAAGTACTGTAAAGTGCTGAGACCTGCAAAGGTGCAAGTGGAGTTTCAAGTTCTCCTTAATGATTACTGTATTTCCAGATACTATTTGGGAAGAGAAAAAAAGGATTTAGGTATGGAAGTTGGGATGTTGCCAGAAAACCAAGGTAGAAATTCTCCTAATTTTTTTTTTTTTGAGGAATGCAGATTACTAAAGCTCTCTTCATCATGCAGAAATGTAAAGTTGTGGAAATAAAATTTAGAGTGGAAAAACAAATTGGAATTTAAATGAGTAGCCGAAATCAGGTATAGTAGAAGCTTTAAAAACCCTGTATCAGTATAAGCCAGTTGTTCTGAAAATACTTTGAAATATTTCTATACTGTAAAAATGCATCTCTTAATCTCTGACATAACAAATGTGAATTCCCTGCGTTTATTATTCTTCTCTTTTTAGTGAAATAATCTTTGATCTTTCAGATTTTAAAGCACTTTCCTTCTCAAAACTGCCTTGTATGTTTCTGACTACTTGTAGCATCTTTCATCAGAAGAAAACGACCACAGTTCTTGTTACAGCCAGTCAGATAGTCAGTATGGTTCTCCTCCAAAGGGTTGGTCAGAAGAGTTGGATGAACATGGTCAAACCTTATATACCAATGACTATACTAATGAAAAGGTACTTTTTCCTTCTTCTCATCACATTCTAAGTCTTTTCCACTAATTCACTGTTAGAAATACAGACTTCATTTCTAGAAGTGAAAAGCATACCAAAGCTGTACCAACTTTTGTTTTTTAAATACGCATGAAATTTTAGCAACTGAACTGCCTTTAAAAAATATTTTTTGTATGTTCTTTAATGTGTAGGAAAAGTGTTCTTATTTCCAGTTGCATATCAGATTATATTAAATGAACATACTGTGTATAATTTTTTAATTCCTGCCTTCCCCCATCCTCTTGGTTACACTTCAGGAATGAACTTCATACCAGTATAATGTTTTTCTTACTGTCTTTTAGAAGGTGTTCTTGTTTACATAGGCCTTCCAGTTAAGATGGTTTCAAACTGAAAATAATGCTGCTTTATCAGTTTCATTCTTTACTTTACTAGAGATTTTCAGTACTGATTTCAGATGTAGACAAACTTCTTAATTAAACTACAGTGTTATCAGCAGATTTATGTTCTGTTCTAATTACTTAATTGCTACTGACGACCTACTGTGATTCTGGGCATGTCATAAAAATGTCTCCCACATAAGATTAATAAGTGTTTATATTTGTAAAGCAGTCCATTTTTTTTTTAATTGTTCACTAAAGTTGCATTTTGTGTTTCTTAACTCAAAAAGTGTAAATTGAAACAGCAGTTTGTTTATTGTATTATAGCACCACCTCTTTTCCAGTTGATATATGCAAGTTTTTTAAAAAGTTTTTAAATAATTGAGTTTTATGTCAGTTTTGGAATTTTATCCTGCTTAATCTATTTCTGCTAACCATCTGTAGAACACATACCTGTGATTTGGCAAATAGGCAAACCTTTTTTTGATTGCGCTGGGATTGATAGAAAACAGGGTTTCCTATCACAAACAGTTTATTGGAAGGCAGTCTTGTGAAACCTGATTGACCCAGGAGCCTTGCTGTGAGTGTTTTTGTGCCTATTTTTTGTGATCATACTGTAGACTTTTGTTCATTACAGTTCTTCACTTTCTGTGTAACTAGTAACAGTTGGCATAGCTTTACCTCTTTGATTGTGGGAGTTGCTTATAGAGGTTACAGAAATTGTGTTCTTCATGATTAGGAACTGCATCTCACGTTCCTGTGGATGTTTTAAAAATGGAGTTGTTCAACAAGTGCAATTATCCCTTAAATTATCAGCAGTTGCTGGCTGCGCTGTAATTCTGTAATTTTATGTATAAAATCCTTACTCTGATCTGATGCAAAGATTGTCCTTCCTTAAACTGATGCCATCATGTTGGCAAGAGTGAGATATGCCAACTTCAGAAATATGTTTATCACAATCTTTTGTGTGATATTGCAGGACTATTTTCTGAGTAGTTACAGAAGGAAAAAGTATCAGCGATCCTAATTCAGGAAGCTGAAAACCATGATGCTGTCATTGCTAATTAACCTTGGTTAGTTAATGGAGGTTGTATGCTAGACACTGCTGAAGCGGATGGCACTTCATTAAAAATTAACTTTAAATCCCAAGTATCAGAGATTTACTATGTTACGACTGTCACTCTGATTACATTTTCTGTCATCACATTTCTTTCTGCAGTGGATAAAACACGCAGATGAACAAGGCAGACCATACTACTACAGTGCTGATGGTTCCCGATCAGAATGGGAGTTACCTAAGGTGAGTGACCTAAAAAAGAAACTTTGACAACTTTGGGCTTTTCCATCCTCCTCAATAAATGTTCTATGGGGCTTTTAATGGGAGTTATTCACAACAAGAGGACATATATATTGCACTTTGTTATTTCTTGCATTTTTGTGGAATTTCTGATTGTGAAGAGAAAAAAAATATATTCAAGTACATAAAAAATAGATGTATGTAACTATTGAGATGTCAGAGAAGATCATCTACTTCAGCTGAACTGAGCTTTTCATGTAAGGCAGCAGAATAATATCTGTGATTTGGCTGTGATAAAGGAAACCTCTGTAGGAAAAAAATTTTTTTTTTGCTACAAAATTTTCCAGAGAAACTGTAGTATATATTTAGTACCCTCCAAATATATGCTTATACAGACAGGTGTTGAAAACCAAAAGTTTCAGAGTTCTGTGGTATCTTTGAGAACAGTTTTACCAGAAGTGTGTTCAGGTATTTATTAATCTTGTAAAATGAAACCAGAAATTTGTAGGGAAGTGACAGAGCTAGAGAAACTTGGTAGTCTGAGGATGTACCTAATACTATTTCATTCTCATTTTCACTTTGAAAAACTATAGGACATTTGTAATAATGGTGTAGTTGTATAAGTCTTTCCTGGTATTAGGATATTTGTTCAATATTATGTAGTCAGATGACCATAAAAAAGTTTCAGCTAAGAAGGAGCATGTTTCCTGATCATTGTTTCATCAGTCCAAAAATTGGTGTCCTAAGTCACTTCCACTTACAAAGGAGCAACCTTAGTAGATAGTGCTTTCATAATGTTTGTGAGAAAATATTCACACTGAAATTTATGAATGAAGCTATAAACTCGATTGCTTTGTTATGTCAGTAAAAGAACTTGTATCTTAGTCACTGAAGAGTTGAGTTAGTTTTGTGAACTTTCCCACATTGGTCTGATGTGTTAGATAAACATTGTAACATACATAAACCTAACAATATAATCTGTAACTATTGTTTTAGAAGATACTTAGCTATTGATTAGCTATTAGATTAATTAGTAGTCTGAAAATCTGATAGACCAGATTTTACCAACAGCAACTGTTAGTTCAGTATGTATAATTTAATTTTGGGGAATAATGTCTTTGGCACTTCATTCTATGACTTCTGCATTGCAGAAACTTTTGAGTGTGAAGAAGTTGCTTTCCATTAAAATAGATAGGGTTTGGATTAGCAAACTAAACTTGGCTTTAATCCAACTATTATATATATATAGTAAATCACAAAAATAATCCAGAACTGTTACCTGAGGCATATTAGCATAAAGGAATGGGATTTAATGTTTGTGTGTTAGTGCATGATATTCTAGTGGTTCTAAACAAATATCTGAGCTCCACTGTATTAATAGCTACCTACAGAATGAAACATAGCCTCTCTGAGTTTGTGATTTGATAATATTTTCAAATCATCATGTCTTGCTGTTACAAATTTTCCTTGGAAATTATTTCTCATTTGGGCAGAATGTACTCTTTAATTCCGTCTTGAAACTAGTAAATCTTGGGTTGCAGCAAATGTAAGGTTAACAGAAATAAATGAGCAATTGACTCTTGGATTCACAATCCAAGAACCTATGTATTTCCAGAAAACCGTAGCTTTTAACTTTTAATGCTGTGGAATAGATTAAATATTTCAGCCAAAGATTTAGCTGGTTCCTGTAACTATATATCTGAAGAGCATAACAGCAGAAATGTTACATTTGTGAATAACTGAATGACTGACCATTAGTCTCTTGAAAATCTTGCTGAAGATAGTTCTAGAAGTGTTTAGGAACAAATGAATTGGAAAGATAACAGAGACTGCAGAACTGCTGTGAAGAAAAATAATCTATGTTGAAAACTAGCATGAGTGGTGGGAGAATAGAAAGACTTCATTGCAACTCTTGCTTATATGAAATTTAAGTTACTAGGGAAGAAACTCTACTCTTGGCGTTTTGGTTTTGTGGTTTGTTTTTTTTTCCCTCCAGTGTATTTAGTTCAAATATTGCCTTCCAAAATTTGTTGTGAAATAAAGTGATGGAATAGCGTAATCATGTAGTGCTGTTAAACCAGAAAGAGAATCCTTTTGTTACATGGTTCTTTATAATCTGGACTTCATTAGAACTAAAAATCATCTGGAGGTTTCTGGAGATAGCATGTTAGCTGAGCAAATGCTATAACATTAAAAATCTTCATGTTATAGTATTACCTGTAAATGTGAACATGCTCGGGTATAACACTTCAAGTATTCTTGTACATGTGAAAAATTATGAGTGTGTATAATGGGGAGGGAGGGCAGTTACCAAACAAATTACTTTAGACAGTTTCACAGAAAGCCCTCCAGTTATGTATATTTTAATAACATCTAGGAATAGCTGAATGCCTCTGGCTAAAGATGAGTCTCAGATGGAGTAGCTTTGACAACTGCGGAAAAGTCTTAATAAGCCTCCCCATGAGTGTGACCTAGCTTTTTGCAGTGGAAAAGAACAATGTCCTGAATTTTTCTTTAAAATGGGTAATAATATTTAACCATAATTAGTACGGCGTCTTGCAAAAGACTGAACTTTCTCCTATGCTTAGGCATTCTGCTGCATTAGGTTGTTGGTTCTTGCAATTATTGGGGTGGGGGTGGGAGAAGAAGAAATAAACCAGCAAATAAGTTCATTCTTTTCCTAGGTCACCATGATCAAATGTTTATTTTGTGTGTAGTGCATGAATAATACTTAAACTGTGTTGAGAAATCCTATTCCAGAAACATAGTTCTAGTATGAGTTTTATAGTTTAAGCAAATGATAAATCTGTATTATGGATGGGGGGAAGGGAGTTAAATTGATCTCAGGAATGAGAACTCTCTGATTTCTAAAGTTTAAAAAAGGTAGCTTTCCTTGCTTCGTCATATTGATAATTGTGTAATAAATATTGAATAAGTAGCTCAAAGGGGAGCTGGAGAGAACAAGCTAAAAAAAATTTTTGGGACTAGTGGTCTCTCAGATTTTCAAAATGCATTCCTAGGCTGATATCTGGCATAACAACATGAGTAGACTTCGAAAGAAAATGCATCTACTATAAATAAGCCTCTGGAATGAACTCAGTTTTGATGTTAATATTTACAGACCATGATATTGAAATTATACTTTCTCATCTCAGAAGTTCCTGCAGCATTAATTTCCCTTGCTGTATCCACAGAGGAAGCATTAAGTAGAGTAGCTTCATTTTTGGCAGTCTTAATAAACCAGCAGGCTGCTAATACGCTGTCTGTGCATTGTCAACGTCAAGTATGAGCTCAGTGGCCTCAATTCTGATATTTAGGTGAATGATTTTCCTGCTGGAGACCTGAATGCTGTCAAACAGAGCATGCTATCTAAAAAATTAAAACATGATGCAGATAATATCAGAAGGATACCATGCAAACAAATGCTGAAAGAAAAGAAATATGAGAATATGTAAATAAGGCCTGTTTGCCGTATGGTAAATTTGTCTTGTTCTGAGCAATGCTACTTGATTTGGGGTAACACACTGTGTGTGTTGACATTCATATCTGCTGTAAGTCAGTGCACTATCATTAGCAATAATAAATCCTCTTCAGGTTCTCGTCAAAATTTGGGATTGCTTGGCAAGGGTTCAGACAGTCTCAGATGATGTGAGGATTTAGATGGTTTTTAAGGACATAAGTGCAAGTGATATGACAACTCTGAGATAAGTATGAGAAGGCAGTCAGATTTTGTTTTTTCCTTTCTCTTTAATAGGTATATTCGTATTCAAGAGGCCTGGTCTGGTCTTCCTCATTTGTCCTGATATTTGGTGGTTCCCACCCCCCTTCCCTCTTTCCAAATAAGATGAGATGGAGGTGAAAGTGCCCCCAGCTTTTTCTTGGGCAAGCAGCAGGACTTGTGACAGTGGTGACTTGGAGCTCTTCTTCAAAGATCAGCCATCATAGTGATTCTGAGGGTTAAAAGGCAGAAAAGTGAACAAAATGGATTATCTAAGATGTGTCTTTCAATCACTTGTTCATTTGAGATAGACCTGCTTGTCCCAGTGGTCTTCTCATTCTGCATAAATTCTATTCCTTCAGTGCGGCTGATGCCTCTAACTGCTGTCACCCAGACATCCTATGGCAGAGTACGAAGAATCTTCTTCCCCCAGAGAAAGAAGGAGAATGAAGTCCTTAAAAAGACTTTTTTATTTATTTATGTAGGTTTAGGAAAAATGTATTACTGATTTAGTTAAGAAAAACAAAAGCTGTAACATAGGTGTTAGGTCTATTGCAGCAACAAAAAAGTTTATTCCAAGCCAGTGACAATAGTAGCACTAAAGAGTGGATTTGTTTTGAGGCAACATTTAAATTAAAAAAGGAAAATCTTTTAATTCAGACAGTCAATTGGGATAACTGCAAATAACATGGTAGGCCGTATAAGGTGCTAAAGAGTACCAGAATATCAGAATATTTAATTGCTGCTGTTTTGATCTCTGATTGCGAGATGGGAGAGTAAAATGCTTAACTTCAGGGAATTTGCTAGTTCTCACTGTTGGTTGCTTCCCACTCTTTTCTCCCTTCACCCACCCAGTTCCTTTTGTCTGGCTGAGGATGTTGTTAACGCAAACCAAGAAGAATCTTTTTTTTTGTTTCTTAAATATGACAGATCTGTGTCTCCATGAGAATGTGGACAACTGCTACAAGTAACTCTGAGGTTTTACGTTTATTGCAGTCACAATTAGGCTAGGACAGAGCCTTGAGCCACGCTCAGTTAAAATTAAATATAAATCATTCAAGTTGAGAGGGTTAGAAAATTTTGTAGAGGCAAAGAAAGCTTTTAAGTAGCTGGTGAAGGCATTCAACAAATTCAGCAATGAAAATAACCCTGTGTGACCTAAATTTACACAACTGGTGTCCTTACCCTACTCTAAGGGCTGTTATAACAAGTCTGTGTTACTTGGTGCATGCAGTCAGAGTGTGAAGAATGTGCTCATGTCAAGTGTGGCCCTTGCCTGATCTCTGTCTTCAAGTTTACACCAAGGTGTAGGCATAGAAAGCCTTCTTAGTTATGTAAAAATAAGATTTTGCATGAGGGAAGGAGAGCCCAACCTAGTTGCTTATTGTTGCTGGTAAACACTGGGAAATATAATTGTAAATGCCTGTAGGAGAGGCAGTAGCTGTGCAGGTAGGAGTCCTATAGAGTGTCAGTGAGTCTGAACTGAAATTGTTCTGCAAGGCTTTCTGAACTAAGGAAGATCGGGTGGAGGCAGACCAGAGTATCAGGGGTGGTGTCTGACCTGGCTAGGCTACTAGCTCTGCGCCTGCTTTTCTCTAGCCAGTGGATTCTACCTGATCTAGAGGATGGCTAGTTCAGTCTGATAATGCAGAGTCTGAACCAGTACCTGTGTCACACTGTGATTCTCTTTGGCGATCACAGATCAATTGATTTATTTTAAAAGCAGAGGCTTGTCTTGAGACAAAAATGCATAAGCTTTTTCTTCACACACACCCCCCCTCTTAGTAGTGTGTTCTGCTATTTGTAATGAATCAAACAAACAAGCAAAAAACCCCCCACAACATAAACATCTGAGCAAAAAAATCAGAGAATAATTTGGGTTGGAAGAGACCTTAAAGATCTCCTAGTTCCAACCCCAAAATGTTTACTTGATGCTTCTATTGTGAGAAAATGGGGGAAAAAATGTCAAGTGTTCCCTTTGAAGACTTGTCAGTTTACTAACACAGTTTGTATCACCAGTGCAAATTATTTAAGCTGCGAAGATGCATGTAGCTGAAGTGTTCCTGAGTTGATAGCAGTGCTTTGTTAATGAGCTCCATATAGGGTTGCTCTGCTTTCTTGTTAAATATGTTTTGTGAAACTAGAATTTCATACTACTTCACAGGTCCTTTCTCCTTCAGGATGGATATCTGTTAGATAAGTTAACTCCTGATGGCTTGTGATGGTCTCAGACACCTTTTAAATACAGATCACCTGTAATTAGACATGTGCCCATGTCCTAACTTTTAGCGTAGACTTAAATTCAAAATAGATTATTTTAAAATAATGTTTGACTGTTTAAAGTTAAACTCCTTGAGTTACTCAAATGGAAAGTGCATGGAGAGTTCCCATAAATAATATTTACCACTGTCACTGAAATGTAAATCTATTTCTGAAGTAAGTATTTCTGTTTCATAGCAAGAAATCTGTTTGAATTGCTGACTTAAATGCGTTAACTGCTGTAAGGAATGCTGGTTTTGGCAGCCTTCTGTAATTTAGACAGTTTCACTGAAAATGGTTTAGATTTTAGTTGTAATACGGGTGGGCAGTTCTGCTGCATATTACTTAGTTTCCTGCCACAGCTTGAGTTGTAGGATCATCTGCAGAGTGGATATTACTATAACAAGAATGTAAGCTAGTATTAGATTCCTTGCAGCATGAATGATGGTTCAGCTTTTGATTTAACAGGGGGATAAACTGAGAGTTCCTTAAACCTCACCATTGTAAGAAAGCAGCTGTCATGTGAGTGTGTGCTGAACCCAATACAAAGTCAGTGCTCTTTCAGAAGTGAGTTTCTACAACGATAACCAATACATTTCTGTCTGTACATGAACTGCCAAATTTTATTTTCAGTACTGCAAGATCCATTCACCTGGGAGTATTTTACTACTCTTGTACATACTGAAATAATGTAATGAAACATTGAAGTTATTTGCCTTTTTAGCATCTATTGACTTATTTGAGTGTTAATTTATAGTAAAACAAAAACCTAGCACAAGCATAGTGTCTGCCATGGTAGTAGAAATGCTGATTCCTTATTTGGGCAATAATGTAACTGTTACGCAGTTTAGCTTAAATTTAGTATTTATGTTATTTAGGTTAAACATTGTCATGCTCTGTTGGTATGTGTAGGTATAGGTTATTCTGTCTTTGGAGACCTGAGGCTCCGAGCTTACAGTAGGAATTAGTAACAAAACTGTAGAATTCAATGTGCTTGCAACGATTACATCTTTAGATTTTTTTAAAATAAAAAGGGCACTTGACTTTCCTTTGTTACTTCTTACCAAGTGGATTCTAGTCCTTTAAGTCCTTAATGCTGTCTTATGTTTCTCTGCAGATTTTAGTCTTCTGACGCTGAACAGAAATAATGATATTTTTAAAAATTACTTAAAAAACCTCATATGTTGGTGTTGTCTTTTCTTGTTTGTATTTTCAGCGTTAAACAGCATTTGAAATATTTTTATATTTCTTTATAGTGCTACCTCAGTGTTTGGTGATGCTTTAAAATGGCCATGCTACTAATAAATGTGTTGCACTGGTGAGATCTAATTAAATGCTGGATCCTCCTCATGTCCTTCATATTTTCTCAGCCTGTGCATCTTTGGGTGCTCTTGAGTTACTAGAAAACTCATGTTAAGATAAATCCATTCTCTCCTTGGCTATTACAGTTCTGCTGAGTCTTAAAAGTATTTCCTACTAAAATGTTATTTTCCATGCTTATGTACATTCCACACTAGGAAATCCTTTGATTAGTAATTTGATGTGATTACTCTGAAAAACCAAGTCCTCACCCTGTGTCTCCTCTCGTAGTCATCCCAAACCTTTGGGTCAAAGAGAATTGTATCCAGGCAATCATAACTCTCAATCTAAATACCTTACTGCAGGATGATAGGGTTTTCCTTTTCTTACACGAGAGCTAGACAGGTGATATGGTACTGTTGGTGTAAAATGAAGAGTGAATGTTTAAATCTTGTATTCTGATTCCTTGATAATTCTCAATATGCTGGTGAATGCAAAACCAACAGTAGGTTGTTGTGTAAGAAATCAAACATCTGTCTGCCAATGGAGAGTATTATCCCAGCAGGCCAGGCTTAGTTACTGCCTTGGAGAGGACTACAGCAGAAAGGACTGTTCTGAAGACTAAATGCAAAATAAAACCAAAGCTATTTCCACATCCTTGGATGACATCAGGAATCTGAAAGTTTGCACTTTTAAGGTGTATAAATGGTATGTCCAGGTCTTGTTTGCATGAATTAGATTCTACTTATAGTTTGATTTTTCTCTTCTTTAGTATAATGCTTCACCACAGCAGCAGAGAGATATAATAAAGAGTAGGAGTCTCGACAGGAGGCTACAAGAACCAATAGTTTTAACAAAGTGGAGGCACAGCACAATTGTGTTGGACACCAATGATAAGGTAGGAGCAAGTTAAACAGCATGCTGGAATACCAACTGTTTCTGATATGTGAAATATTTAACAGATGAGTATGCATGAATTTCTGAAATAACTTTTTTTCCTTATATGTTGTTGTATCATTGTGTATGTATAACATTAGAGAAACCAAGGCCCATTTGGTAACTTTACTGCTGTTACTTTGTGAGTAGTAGCTCTTTTTTTCTTTTTACCCTTGAAGCATTTTAGTGTTTGTTCAGGGTTTGGTGTGTACAGCCATTTTACTTATTATGAATCTCCCAATTCAGTTCAGGCTATGGAGTGTAAGCAGAGTTTGAATTCAAGAATTATGGATGTGGGTGAGGTTCTCATATAAGGTATAGTGATATTTAATGCCTGGATGGTTTAATTGTAGGAAACACAAGTAGGAATACACTTGGAAGATTGAAGATAATTGAAATATTCATAGAATTGAAATAAAAATTGCACTTGCTAAAGTAAAACCTGTGCCTTGAAGATGTAAATAGTAGTCGTATACAGTGGATGTATCACTTTAATGCCTGTTCCACTGATCTCCACTGTAATAAAGAAAGAGGAAAAGTTTTGGGTGGTTACAGCAGGGTTGTAATGTTGTTGTTGAAGGACAGAGGACAGTATTGGAAGTGCTGAAATGCTGTCAGGAGCTGAGCTGGGGGTTTAGTCTGGAAAGAGCTGCTGGTCAGTAACAACAAAAGCTTTTTTTCTGTCCATTCATAGGGCATGTTCTTGATAGTCTGTTTGGGCTGTACAGTAAGATTCTGTTTAGGCCAGCAAGGAAACAGAGCCTCTCCCTTGCTCTCCCTCTGCCCATCTTCCTCCAGTTTGATTTTTGTCCCAGCCATTTCTGCTTGTGCTAGGACATTCTTTCTGCCTGGGGGTGAGGAGTGTTGCTGTGAGCTGAGTGGAGAGGAGGAACTGAAGCAAGTGTTGTAGGACGGTGACTTGCTGGTTTCAGTAATCTTTCAGCAGTCCATCCCAAGATTCTTGGAAACTGAAATACTTGTTAATGCTGAAGTCTTAGCACAGATTACTCAATGAGCTACCAGGAAATTACATTGTAAGCTCCCTTTTTCTAAAGATACAGGGAAAAATGAAATGAATGTAGATTTGTGAGTAAAGAGAAAAGTCTTTAAGTGGCCCTGTGTAATCACAGATGTTAATTAAATGGACAAAACACAGTAGTTGTAATGAAAATGGATCTGCTGCCCACAATGTTACTTTCTTGACCTGTTGTTTCTGGTACGTCATAGCTGGCAACTAAGCACCACACAGATGCTTGCTCATTCCTCCCTGCCCCTGCTGTGGGATGGGGAGAATTGGGGGGAAAAAAAGTAAAACTTCTGGGTTAAAATAAGAACAGTTTAATAAGCAAAATAAAATATATTAGTAGCAGTAGTAGTAATAGAAAAGAAAAGAGAGAAGTCAAACCTGAGAAAAGACAAGTGATGTACAATGCAGTTGCTCAGCACCTGCTGACCGATGGATGCCCAGCCAGTCTGAGCAGTGATTGACTGCCAGCCAGTCTTCCCCCTGCCTGCCCCCCCCC